CATTATGTATCATGTTCTTTGTTATCCTCAACGACCTCATAAATGTTCAGATCAGTTAGGTTTCTCTTACTCTTGCTCTTTTACCAATTTTTGTTATTTCTTAGCTTATATTCACTTTCTTTTTAAACCTACCTCATATAAAAAAGTTGTTCTTGATCCTCTTTGGAACAAGCAATGAATAAGGAGTTTGTTGCTTTGCATAAGACTGACACTTGGGAGTGTGTGTCATTATCCTCTGGCAAATGCATGGTTATTTGTAAGTGAGTTAATAAAAGTAAGACCAAATATGGTAGTTCTGTGGAACAATACAAAACTCGATTAGTAATCAAGGGATTTGCTCAAGAGTATACCATAGACTATGAAGAGACATTCAACCATATTGCTGAGATGACCATTGTTAGCGATGTAACTACAATGGTTGTTATTCATCAATAGTCTCTCTTGTCTTTCTCAATGGAGATATGACTAAAGAAATTTTTATGACTCCTCTCGGATTACGTCATAGTCGTAGTCAGGTGTGCAAACTCCATAAGGCATTATATGGTCTTAAACAAGCTCCTAGGACATGGTTTGCCAAATTTTCTTCTATCAATTATGACTTGAATTTTCGTGCTAGTGACCATGGTTGTGCTCTCTTTCTATAATCCTCTTCCTCAGGTTCTATTGTGCTTTTATTATATATAAATGATATAATCATTACAAGTAACGACACTATTCGTATCTTCTTATTGAAAAGACAGTTGTAGGATAATTTTGAAAGCAAAGATTTAGGTCAACTCTAGTATTTCTCGGGTATTGAGGTCGCCTCTTTTTCTAATGGTCATCTCCTTTCTCAATCCAAGTATACCTTCGAAATTATACATCCGGTCCGCATGTCAGACACTCGAACGACCGAAAGCCCTTAGAGCTCAATGCCTGTTGTACTTCTTTCAATTGGACATCATTATCTGTGCTTACACTATATCGCACTATTGTTGGTAGTCTGGTGTACCTTATAGTGACATGCCTAGACATCTCATATGCAATTCACATTGTTAGTTTGTTGCCTCTCCTATCACTATTTATTGGGCTAATATTTTTTGAATTCTTCACTATTTTTGGGGTACCCACCATCAAAATTTATTATTTTCTTCTTAGTTGCCACTCAAATATTACACCGATGCTGACTAGGCTAGCAAGTCTACAGATCGTAAGTCTACCACTGGCTTTTCCTCTTTGAATTGGTGATGCCCTTATTTGCTAGAACAAAAAAAAAATTGTTATTGCTTGTTCTATTGAGGTTGAGTATTGTATTATGGCTTTCCCCACAGCTAAGATAGTCCGATTATGATGGTTACTTGCTGATCTTGACATCTCTTTGTCTACTCCTACCTCTATGCATTGCGATAATACAAGTCATATTCAGATTGCCCACAACTCATTATTTCATGAGCGTACAAAACGTATTGCAGTTGATTGTCGTCTTGCGCATCATCATCTTCAGCTAAGTGTCATTCCCCTTTTCTTCCTTCTACTGTATAGTTGGCAAAGTTCGTTATGAAGTCTCACACTATTATCCATTTTCGTTTTCTTTTTGACAAACTCTAATGTTTTCTGCTACCACATCATGAGTTTGACAAGGGTTGTTAGAATATTTTAGTATTACCGCTAATTTAGTCATTCTCTAGTATTTTGTGTCCTACTAAAAGGTGTCTATTCTACATCTTTTATTATTATGCTTATAGCATACTGATATAGCCATTAATAATATTCTTATTTTCTTCTCATATCTCTATACTTGCAATCAAAATTTTCAGCCCTTTCCTCCTCCATCAACAAAAAAATAGACCGGAAAACTTTCAGGTACACAAAGAAAAAGAATGAACTCCATGACCGTTACATATTAGCCCCATACTCATCGGAAGGTCAAAACATGATTACCTAGTCACTCATACCAACAAACACAACAAAAAATGTCATTGAACTAAAAAATGAACATGTGGGAAACCCTTTCCCTCCATCCACCCCAAGTAAATAAAATGGATAAATAATAGAGATAACATTGCATTTTGACCCAAAAAAAAC